GCGTTGTGTTGCCCCCGGGAGAGATGTAGTGACCGCGTTGTGTTGCCCCCGGGAGAGATGTGGTGACCGCGTTGTGTTGCCCCCGGGAGAGATGTGGTGACCGCGTTGTGTTGCCCCCGGGACTGCGTTGTGTTGCCCCCGGGAGAGATGTAGTGACCGCGTTGTGTTGCCCCCGGGACCGCGTTGTGTTGCCCCCGGGACCGCGTTGTGTTGCCCCTGGGGTCGGTCCCTGAGTGTTGCCCCCTGACACCTCCGGGTAGTCATTGCCTCTTATGGGTATCTGGGTTCTCATAATACGGACCACGGAATCTGTTTCCAGAAGCAGCATGCCCCCAGAGACAGACAGGTGCTGCATGGGTGGGAGGAGCCAGCGGGAAGATCCCCCCCTCCATGTGACATGTCTGTGACCCAGTCCCGGGGGGTCCTCCCCCATGCGTCCAGGTCAGTTGGCGGCCATTATTATCTCTGTTCTTATGCTGAAGAAGCAGCTTTCCTGCATGGCCTAGAAAGCTGAGGTGGAGGGAGTGATGATGCTGAGGGTGCCATACTTCAGTGAAAGTATGTGTCCCCACAATCCCCGCTGCGGGCATTGTACTCTGCCGTGTGACGTGTGCCTTACCTCTGCTCTTCTCTTCTTTCTCTCCCTCTGAAGGGCTGGCCCATATCATGATGGAGGACCAAGGTACGCTCCCTACCTCCCCCGTCTGGTCCCATCGCTCTCCATCTCTCACACCTCTTCCTTGTGTTTGCTGTGTTGCTGTGTGATGGGGCCCCCCCTGGGGGGGCCTTTTTTCCCCCCCCTTGGGGGGCCCCAGCCCCCCCCCCCCCCATCTTATCATGTGTCCTGGAGGGCAACAGTTCACATGGTCTGCTGGAGGTGACGATTCACAGGGGGGGAGGAGCCATGGGGTCCCCAGCTGATTGGCCCATTGCTGACCTGACGGTCCAGTGTAATGATAGGGAACATCAAACAGCGTTAAATCCCCAAAACGCGTAACACCCCAAATTGTGTACACTGGACCCAGGAAACATGTTTTACCTTTTACATGTGTCCAATACCCCCAGTACAGGAGACGGCGACATGTGACACCGACATGTGACACCGACATGTGACACCGACATGTGTGACATACGAACCCATTCCTGGAACGCGTCAAATCAATCAAAACTTTAACACATTGTTTGCAGAACGCCCCGCGTGACCCGATACAACATACACAGATTGAACATACATGTATATATACTGTACATACATATAGTCCACATGGATCACAGTACCATGAC